TTAAAAATGCCTTTTTGGCTATCACAGGAGATGGTCTCCTTGCTATCTCTAACTCTTACTGTATATAGCCAACAATTAGAAGATAATCCAAAAAAATTTGACCACTTATCTACACCAGAAAAATTTTAAACTTATTTCTGGAGGATACCTCAGTCTCCTCAACTGTAAAACAATGATATTAATCCTCATGTCCTTCAAAAGGATGACTTAAGTTGTTTTAACGTCCACAGTTGTGTCTGGAAATTATTACAACTGTAATAAAAAACAAACACTGCTAAATTAGAAAAAGAATGTATCTTAGACCAAAAACATTTTTAAATTAAATTTTGCTTTGCACTCTCTTATAATGAACAAGCCACATAACAAGTGTGTCCATAAAGTGGAGAAGGAAATGGCAACCCACTCCAGTATTCTTGCCCGGAAAAGTCCATAGACAGAGGAGCCTGGCGGGCTACAGTCCATGGGGTTACATGACTGAGCATGCATGCTTGAGGGTGGAAGGCGATGGGTTGGTAGCAATAAACTGGTAAAATTAAAAAAAAAAAAGTGTATCCATGAAGTAATCCAATTCATTTTTCCATGAAGTTTTATCGAATCAGTTTAATTACTCCATTCTCATACCTGCTCACCTCCATGGCAACAACCTAGATGGAACAAGTATAGATTTTCTTCTTGGTATCTCTTAACTAATATTAATTTAATTCTAAATTTAACTAAGTTATTATCTCCCATGAAATCACATAGCAGCTCACAGAGAAGTCTTCATGACTGATGCAGTTACTGCTCATCCATATCTTGAAAAATATGTTTTGAAGACAGAGACATTCCATTACTTCTTGTTGGAAGAGAATGAGGAATTCTGCTTTGAGAAACCCAAAATGAAAACTTCCTCCAGCTATCTGTCACCTCCTGAGAATTTTCTGAGCCCCTAGGAAAGAACTCAGAGCCTGTAAACACAAGGAATTCAAGCAATATTCATAAGTACAATCTACAGCAGCCTCCAAGATCCCCATTTTTTATTTGAAACTGGTCAGATACAGCCCTTCACTTGCCCTTTATTTCACGATGATTTCCCTGTCAAGCTAGACATTTTGTGTCTTCTTCTCCTCCTACATGTTGACTTCTTTAGACTTCTAGGCTCAGTGCAATCAGTTGTCAATCTTTTTGAGTTGGGAGATGCTCAGATGGTGAAAAATGCTGCCACTGTTTTCCTAGCTCTTCCAAAATGAGTTGCTCCCTTTGAGCTCTTGGTTTTGACGACCCCAAGTGTGTTCTCTAAGAGCGGGATGCTCATTTTTAAGGAAACCTGGCATTGGTCCCTACGAAGCTGCTTTCTGCTTGGACTGACCTCACCATCCTCTCCAATCCCCACCCTGACACGTACCGGTCACCCTCACACTGAACCTGAGCAATCAGTGATTGGGTCTGTACATTGACAGAACGACAGCAGAGGGGCACCCAAGGCTCACTACTTCTGAAGACATGTTGAAATCATTTGTGATCTCTGCCTTGACATTCTCCAAGTTACAGGTGTTTCCAATTTTCAACTCGTGGCAGAAACCATAAGCCAAGGAAGCAAATAAGTGTTTCCAAAAACTGTTGAAAAGAAACACCCTCCTGCTACCTAACTGTGGAATGCCCAACTTGGGACTTCCATTAACTTTTGACCTTCTTTCTTAGAAACCCATATGGAGAGGATTCAATTTTCCTAAGTTGGTTACTGAAGACTGGGATAGCTTTTTAGCAGCATCAGGGGCCCAATTTCTTCAAAACAAAAAACTGAGTTGGCTTTCAGACCCATCCCCAATATGTTATAGAGCCCTACTTGAATTCATTCCTAAGGATTTGATCCAAGCTATTTGTTCTGCTGCTTTGGTTTTTCCTGTAATCATCAAGATGGTTCAAATATAGGAGAATGACAAGTATCAATTATATTATTAATATTTCACTCTAGAAATTTGTGTGTTAGCTGATGACACAATGTTCCAAGACTGTCAAAATTAATATGGGTTTTCCCTCTTTAGCTAGGGGAATACATTTCTGGAAATGGAAGTGCTAACTATATAGTTTTTTTCAAGATGCTGCTGCTCTGGTGTTGCAAGTGTTCTTCAAATGCTCTGAGGTTATAGATGCCTCTACCCCTGATTTCTTCCAGCTACCAGTCATTCAACTGTTGATCAATCCCCCTAGGCTGTGGCAGAGCTAGAGTATCTTTTCCAGTGTCAAAGGGCTTACTCCATCCTGTGGTGATCTGTTGATCTTTATCCTTGTTTCCTGAATTCTTTCCTCAAAGGTGTCCCCAGCCCCTGCAAAACTCCCATTTTTAACATTCAGCAGAATATTCTTCCTTTATTTCTTTGTGGCAGGCATCATCACTCACACACATTTTGTTAGCCATTATGGGTCAAAACTGTCTCCCAGGGCACAAACTAAATTACAGAAAAACAGGTCACAAAGAAGTAAACAACATACTCCAGAACTCACTCAACTGAAGCGCAGCTCCACACTTCCCACCCTGGTCCAGGCCACCATCATCTCTCACCTGCAAATTGCAATAGCTCTCTAACCTTGCCCCTACCAGTTATTCTCTCCAAGTGGCCAGAGTAGTCCTTTAAAAACGTTAGTCAGGCCATGTCACTCCTTGGCTCAAAATCCTCCCATGACTTCACTTTCACTAAGAATAAAACCTGAACTTGACTTCACCTTCTTAGGTCTGTGTTCAAATGTCACCTTAATGACAAGCCTTCTGCAGCCACCCCTACTGCTGTACCACACCCCCAGTTCCTTGTCCTTCCCTTTTCCTCACCCCTAGCACTTACACTTATATATTCATTTATTTGTGTGGTAGATTGTATTCTTCAAGATGACCACAACAAGATTTCGCACTCCACACACTTTTCTTACAATGTGATGTTTCTGCTACTTCCTTTGAGAGATGTTTCCCATCCCTCTTGAACCAAGGTGGGTCTGTAACTGTGGTGGAACTGATGCTAGCCTCAGTGACCTCTGAGGCTAGGTCACAAAAACCCATACAACTTCTGCCTGGTCCTTTTGGGACCCTCAATCTTGGAACTCAGCCATTATGATATGAGGAGGCCTAGGCCACATGGAGAGGCCAACTGTTGACTGTTCTGACCAACAGCCCTAGATGCAGTCCAAGCCAACAGTCATCATCAACTTCTAAACCTCTGAGGAAGCTTTTGAGATGACTTCAGCCTCACCCACTGCATGAGACTCCAAGTGAGAACTTTTAAGCTTAGTCTAATGACCTCCCAAAACTGTGAGGGATAAGAGTAAAACTGTTGTGCTAAGCCACTAAGTTTTGCAACCATTTGTTATTCTACAATAGATATTGGAACAATTTACATGTATATTGTATGTCTCTCCTCACTAAAGTTTCATGAATTCAAGGATTTTGTTTTCTTTGTTATTGCATTCCCAGCACCTAGAACAGTGCCTGGCATATAGCAAGTACTCAAGAAATATTTGCTGAATAAATGAATGGATGCATAGATGCATTTTCAGTAAGGTACTCTAATGGTTATTGATCAGTGGGAGATGGTACAATCTGCTGGGTTAGACCTCATTGGCATAGATCATAAGTTGGCCCTTAAGAGCATGGCAAAATATATTTCAGCAAGAATATTTCAGAGGCAAATGACATTATAATGAATTATAATAATTTGGGGGAGAAAACATAAAATAGGATTAGAGCTTCATGCAGAATGTCTTTTGACGATTCATTCCATAACCCCACCATGGGCCTTTCCAGATCAGGTCTGGAAAAGCTTCAGAAGTATTTTCAGAAGGCTCAGTGATTCTTACAATTCAAAGAATAAAATTCTTCCTATGAATGACTAGTTGAAATCACTCACGTTTCTGGTTTGAAATGGGAAGATGAAAATGGGTGGTGGTGCATGTATGTGCACAGGTGCACAAGCTGGGATGCTTCCTCCCACTGCCTATTTTCATAGTCTGGTGGTTTGGAGTGTGTACAAGAGAAGGAATAAATATGGTTCTGCATCCACCTAGTCTTGCACCAAGTACTTTGATTTAGCATTTGGTTTGGAACAAATAGTTGTGTATTGCTTAAAGAGCAATAATATCCTCAAATATCCAAAGAAAATACTAAAATTGTATCACCTCAGGAGGTAATAAAGGAAAAAAATTTCTTAAGTTACTTGGGAAAGAGGTTAGTTTTTGTTTGAGGAAGAATAACAGGAGGATAATCTTGAATGGACCAAACAGTTTCTTTGGGCCAATCCACCTCAGCCTTGATTGGAGCAAAAAGCTATTGGGGAGTCTACAGTTTCTTTGAAGATCTACGACGAGTCTATTCATCTCAAAGCAGTTTCCATACATGAATCACCTTGATAAGCAATCACGTGTGGCTTCCAGAATCTAGAAAGGTTTAGGGTAAAAATAGCTTTTAAAAGCTCTTCACTTAATGCTACTTGACTGAAATGTCTCTTGAGGTACAGTGAGTGCCATTTTGATGCCTTTGTTCCAATGACAGTCGTTGGTGCCATTGGGCCTCACCATCTGGCCTATAGCATGATGTTGTCCTCTTGATTAGGTAGAAGCCTTGGGTGGAAAGTGTGGAGATTCTCAAAATTTTCCCAGGAAGTCCAGGGAAGTATTTTCTTTGGAAACCCCATCGTTCTCACCAAAATTTAGAGATTGCCTCTAAAGCTAATTATTTTCCATTTCATTTTTTAAATTATTTATTTATTTGCAGGCCCAGACAAACTTGACTAGAAAAGAAGCCCGGGCAGGAGTTAGGATGAGTCCATGACGTGCCACGCACTCCAACCAATTGAAAAACCACGAAAGGGGGAGGGCGGAAGTGACGAGCCGTATCCCTCCGCGGAGCGAGAGGGTCGGTGGGGGGAGTCGGCGTCTCTCTCCCCCGCGCCAGCTCCCGTACACGGAGCCGCATTCCTTGGCCCCCCCGCCCCCCTCCCTCGGGGCCCCCCCGCCCCCTCGGGAAAAAAATCCACCCCAAATCACTCGAACCCGAGGGAGGTTTCCTTTCACCCTCGCGGAGACGAGATTTCAACGGTTCCCTCTTCTCCGTCTCCCCCCCAAGCCCCCGTCCCCTCCCCTGCTCCCACCCCCTTCTCCCGGCGCCGGGTGCAAGGTCCCTTTAAGGCGACGGCGCCTTCCTCGGGTCAGACTACCGGCGGCGACGACCACGGGAGGTGAGTGAGCGAGCGAGCCTTCCCTCTCCCCACCCCCTTCTCCCGGGGGTTCCGTTATCTTTTTGCTCGGCGAGACGTTCCGAGGCGAGACAATGAGAGGGGGATGGGGCGTGGCCGGCGGGCCGACGTCCCCCGGGGATGGGGGTGGTGCTCGGCCCTCCCCCGCCACCCCCGCCAGGGAACTAGTGGGGCGCTCTTTTTGAGCGCGGGGAGGAAAATGAGTGATTGCCTAGCCGCTCCCTTGTGTTATGTAATCCCGCCTATAGTACATCCGAAGCCTTAGTGCGCTGCAGTTAGTTTACAAAGTCTCCTCCCCTGGCTCTAAAATTTCTTCGGGATGGCGCCGTGATTTATAAAATGGGATGGGGCGGAAAAAGCTTATTTTCGTATCGTTATATCCTGCCGCGGTGGGCGCCATGTTTATCCCAGGGACTATTTTCTCTAGATTCTTAGCACCTTCTGAAAAGGAGGGATATCGTTGATCCACCTGCTTCTTCTGCTTTCGCAAGTTGTCCTGCTTTCTCGTCAGACGCGGGATTCCTTCAAACTGTTAATAATACAGGACGTTTCTCTGCTTGTCTAGGGTATTTTCGGCTCAGAGAAAGGTAGAGCTGGAAAGAGTCTTGTAAGACATTTAGTCCAAACTTATTTTTCGAGATGGAAACTGATACAGGTGTCCTATCTCGGAATAGCCGTCATTCTATTGCAGACTGTGGCCCAGCCCTCTACACTCCTTTAGACACCTCCCACCTCCGCGCAAAACCCCAGAGACGTGCAATTTTACTTTCAAAGGAATTTTTCCATCTAGATGAAGGGAAACGGCGGGGGCGGAGGGCTGCTGCTTGGCAAACGACGTTGAATTTTGAGACCCGTTGCCTTTGGCTCTGGAATTTGGATCCTGAGTTTGAACTACTTAGCACAATCGGTCTTAACTTCAGGATGCATAAAAAGTACCTTGCAGGTCGCTAAAAGTGTTGTTTGCGGGATACTTCAGCTACAAGCATATTTGGATGGGATGCTGAGGGGGGTATGTCGTCTGTACTTTTTTAATCTGCAGTCCTTCAGCTGAAACTGATTAAGGTGACCACCGTATTAACAGTTATGGTTCTAGTATAAAGGTGCCCAAACTATCATCTTCGAACAATTAAGTGGCGGTCTATGCCCTTGATTTCCTCCCCTTTCTATATTACGGTTATAGCGTACCAGCTATGCTGAAGTATCTCAAGCTAAAGGAACTAACAGAATAGAGTCTCTTGGGATGAACATGATTTTGTGTCCACCCCACCTTGTACCAGTGGTAAATCTGGAAAAGCAGTTCCCAAAATGTGGCCTACTAATTCCTGGGGTTCCCCTCAGGCCCTCTCAGGCCCTCTCAGGAGAGCTATGAGGTGGTAACTGTTTTCAAAATAATACTGAGACCCTGGTTAGCTTTTTCACTGGCATTGCACCGATGGTCCAAAGGCAACACTATTGTGGGAAACAATTACCACGCTTACTTGAGAATGTCTTTGATGAAGCAGTAAGGATAATCACTAAATTTCACTTTAGTACACGTATTTTTAATTTGTAAGAATCCGTGACCAAATGGGAAGTGTGCATAAACCACTGATACTGCCTGCTGAGGTAAATCTTTGTCATAAGGAAAGGTACTTGTGAGATTTAGCTGCGAGTTGCTTGTTTCCTGCACCAGCATTTTTACTTGGAAAGAACGACTGACAAACTAATTTTTCACACTTGAGCGTTTGCCAATGGTTTCTTGAAAGCAAATGAAGTGAGCTTGTCACTTCAAGGAAAACAATTGACCGTATTTGTTCTCAGTGATAAAAATTTGAGAGCGAAAATTAGAATTTTTAAAAATTTGGTATCTCAAGTTTAACAACTTCTGGTGCTTAAAAGACTTGCCTTGCAAGTCAGTGTTGATGACTGATTTTTTAAAATATATTTTATGGTGAAATGTCTCAGCATGTGAAAGATAGGCATAATTCAGTAAATCTGTATTTTCAAATGACTTTTGCATAACTCAAGTCACCGTGAGTAATCTTCAAAATTCACGATACACTGATGGAATTTAACATAACTTTCATCAGTAGGGTTTCAGATTCCAATATGCAACTATTGTTTAAGAAACGTTTGTCTAGTTTTAGTACTGTCTCAATACACACATCTATCTGAAAAGGTTTTTAGAATGTGTTTCCCTTTTTCTGTCTGTGTGACAGCAGATCTTCATTATATACATAACCAAAACAACATAGAAGAGCAGACTGAATGGAGAAGCAGGTTTGAGAATCAAACTGCCTTCTATTAACCTAGACATGAAAGATTTCCGAAAATGTAAAACAACATCATTTCACTGTTTTGGGGGGAAAAAAATCATTTTTAGTTGAAAATTTGTTATATATTTTAATTATATCATCATGTAATGGGTTTGTTGGTTTTTAGTGTACTGATATTTAAACTTTTTACTTTTTAATTTCTAAAGTAAAGATCAAAAGATCTTTTCCACAGTAATAAAAGCTCTTTGAGATCTTTAATAATTTTAAGAAAGTAAAGGGGTTCTGAGACCAGAAACTGGGTCTGTCCTATCCTTCTGCTCCTGAGGTCATCCAAATCTGTCTCCCATTTAGAAACTTCTGGAGAACTCAGAAATGTTAGTTGGAGTTAATAGTGGAAGAGGCAGTGAATTGGGAGAGAATTGCACAGCAAAAAAAGCTTAGTAAATATCCCAGATCAGCTGTAACCTTGGGCAAGTTGCTTAAACTCTCTAAACCTCATTTGACCTGATCTATAAAGTGTATTACTTAGGACATAGTTAGGAAAATTCATTGTGGTAATGAATGTAAAGCACGTAATAATGCCTGGTATTATATGACAGCAAAATAAAATATATTCCAAATGATGTTTCGTCTTTTTTCTCCATATGTCTTTTTGTTGTAAGTGGAGATTTTTGATTTAAATTGCAAATCCTAGAGCTGGTGGTGTCTTTGTCATAGTATCAGTATGATAAGACTTTGATAGATTCTTTGGCAGTGTGGTTTGTGTTAATAAACCATATCCACAAAAACATTTTTACATGTAACTTGGGAGGAGAGGAGAAAGAAATAACATTTTGCTAGCTTTGGCAGAGTTAAATGAAATTGAGTAGAAATGGAATTTAGACAAACATGTCAATGAAGAACTTCTCTTGGGAGAGAAACTGAATATTGAATGCTTTAAAAATAGGAAACTCAACTGCTCACTTCAGTTGTTCAGTAAAGAGCTTATAATGAATATATACGGATTCTCCTGGATAGGAAGTTTGCTGCGAGGTAAGTGGGAAGTATTTTATGTTTAGGAATATTAGACAGATTATTAAGAGTATTTAAGAACCCATTGTGAAAGTTATATGTGAGGTTCTACAATAGTTCCTGTGAAGGATAGACTGGGTAAATAAAAGCTTCTTACTACAAGTTCAACAATAATTTGTTTCATAGCCATACTAAGTATTCAGCCCTATAGATTTTCTGGAATTAGTCCCTTTTAAAGGAAAAAATTGAGGTGACTAGACCTTTGTTGTTTTCAGCCCCTAGGTTGTGTCCAGATTCTTTGCAGCCCTATAGACTGCAGCATGCCAGACTCCCCTGTCCTTCACTGTCTTGTGGAGTTTGCTCAAATTCATGTCCATTAAGTCAGTGATGCTGTCTAACCACCTCATCCTCTGCTGCTCCCCCGCTTCTCCTTATGCCTTCAACTTGAATACAAATGCAAATTGTTTTGAGGATTATTATTGTTTATTTCTCACCCAGGAGCAAGAGAGTAGTAGTCTAATTAAATTTTTTGTTTTTAAAACATTTTTTTCTGTTCCACATGTTCTTTTTATCTCGATTTATGGGTGGGTGTGCACTAGCAGTGGAGAAGGCAGTGGCACCCCACTCCAGTGCTCTGCCTGGAGACTCCCGTGGACGGGGGAGCCTGGTGGGCTGCGGTCCGCGGGGCCACTCAGGGTCAGACACACTGAGCGACCTCACTTTCCCTTGTCACCTTCACGCACTGGAGAAGGAAACGGCAGCCCGCTCCAGTGTTCCTGCCTGGAGACCCCCAGGGACGGGGGAGCCTGGTGGGCTGCCGTCCGCGGGGCCACTCAGGGTCAGACACACTGAGCGACCTCACTTTCCCTCGTCACCTTCACACACTGGAGAAGGAAACGGCAGCCCGCTCCAGTGTTCCTGCCTGGAGACCCCCAGGGACGGGGGAGCCTGGTGGGCTGCCGTCTGTGGGGTCGCACAGAGTCGGACACGACTGACGCGACTTAGCAGCAGCAGCAGCAGGCACTAGCAGTCAGTTGAAAATGTTAGGTACTGAATTCTTCATTCATGAACTTACTTTAGCACTATAAAAGAATTAGACAAAGGAATCCAGAACTTCAAAAACCAAATCTGGAGAATTTTGGTAGAAAACAGATGTTTTCTTAATCTTATTTGAGATGAAGATAGGTAAACCTTTCTGCCCACTAAATACCTCAGAAGTAGACAGTTGTAACTGAGGGATTCTTTTTGCTGCTTTTAAATAAGATTGCGTAGTCTCTTTGTATCTTGCTTTTCAGTTGCATAGGTTTTTACTCATTAGCTGATTTTATAGGACCATATTTGCTGGCATTTAAGGTAACAGTTCAGTCCTCCCAGAAAGGTACGTATCTGGTACACCCATATTATGGTGGAAAGATGAATGCCAAAGACTTAAAATCACTAGTAGTCCTGTGTAAGTTGCAGTGTTGACTAAAATGTACTGAGTACACGGAAGTCATGTTACCAGTGAGGTTACTGCCACAGAACTGAGAAACCAAATAGTTACCAAGATGTCAGGTGATCAAGATGTCTTGATTAGTGGAAGATGGCAGTGCTCATCTCATCTTGCAGTACCTCCTTGGTAATCTGTATACCCCAACTTAGTTTTATTTTTTCTAGTATTATTTAATTATTGTGCAATATATTAAGAATTGTGTATATATAATCTATGTGAAAATT